CTCAGTGTGACTATTACAGTTTCCCATCTTGTTCATTTTGAATGTTCATTCTAACTATTAATAGTTTCATACACACACTCAGACCACTTTGTCTTCTCTCTAATGCCGTTAAGTAATGTGCCAATTAATAGTGACATCATTCTGTACTGACCAGCTTTTAGCTAAATTACTTCTGCTTTTTATTTAAAGAGAGTTCCCAGTAGCCATGATATTTTGGATGTCAGGGAAAAAAAAAAAAGAAGCTTTGACAGCAATGTCCTCAAGTCCCCTGATCTCCATACTCATTCTCCTTCAATATTTATGAAGAAAAAAAGGGGGCTGCTATTACATGATGACCCAACATTCAAAATTAATTCTTCTGAAACAAGATAATTTCAACATATCTGTAAAACATTTACAAGACAAGCTACCACTAAAATGCTTCCATATAAAGGTGTGAATATTTTTGTTTACCTTCGATTTAGGGATTCTGATGATCTCCTTCAGCACTTTCCCTGGATTAAATTGTGTAGGACTTTCTCAGCTGACCAGGCAATCCTCATGATACCAGCCCCTTAGACAGAGTTTCCTCATCATTCAGGGCAGAGGATTTGCACTGGGTGGGTTAAGATTGTTTCCCCTAGCCAGGCATCAAAGTCCTCTGCAAACTCCTTCATAACTTTTGGATTTTCCGTCTAAGAACTCACCACCTCTGCAGGCCTGGACAATGATGACTTGGTTTGTCCTTTAGACTGAGGCAGTTGCGGTTGTTGAATATCTGGAAGACGGTGTCATAAGGCAGCACATCCGATGTTTCCTCACTGTGCCTCGTTCCACAGATTCCATCCAGGATGCCATGAGACATGAGCACCACGAAGGTGCTGTCCGAGGTCTTGTGCTCTGGTCGGGCAGCAAATTCCCGCAGCACTGACTCCATATCCTGGAGAAGATCAATGTCTCACTTTAGTAGAGCAAGTGTTACAACTATCTGACCTCCTAGGTTTACCAGAGCAACACAAGAAACGCATGTAACATTCTGTCATGGTGCCTTCACATAGTGCTGACTCAAGTCATGACAGCTGCTGTCTTTTTCCTTCTTAACACGTAGTGGGTTCCAACTTTCTCCTGCTGCTGCTGACATACCATAAAGCATCTTCTTCATATATTTTCTATTTATATGTGTCACACATACTACTTTTTTCTGTCCATCCCTATCTTTTCTCTCCTTATCTGACAATCATCACGTGTAATAAAAGCATCACACCACTTTCCTTCTCAAACCCACCCCACTGGTCTGACCCTGCTCCATCCTCAGGTTGGTCACACTGGTCTTTTTGTGCCTCTCACGTGCCAGTTTCCTTTTCACTTTAGCCCTTTCGTATGTAGCTCCCCCTACTTGGAAGGCCTTTCACTCACATGTTTCCAGAGCCATCTACTTCTGGTAGTCACGACTCAGCTCCTGCGGGATCTCCTCACAGAGGCTTCCCTGGACCACGCCATCAAAGATGCCCCCCAATATCAGTTCTCTCTTATTTCCTTTTTCCTTTTCTGTTTACTTCTTTAGGCTTAGAGTGCTTTGGTGTCAGCCTAGCTCACAGCAACCTCAAACCTCTGGGCTCAAGCAATCCTCCTGCCGCAGCCTCCTGAGTATTTGGAACTATAGGTGTGCACCATGACGCCCGGCTAATTTTTTCTATTTTTAGTAGAGACAGGGTCTCACTTGTGCTGAGGTTGGTCTCAAACTCCTGAGCTCAAGTGATCCTCCTACCTTCGCCTCCCAGAGTGCTAGGGTTACATGTGTGAGCCACCACACCTGGCCTTTATTTTGACTTTCTTATCAAGCTTGCATAGACACATGCACACACAGTCTCTGAAATTGTCTGTTTTGCTTATATTTTGATTGTCCCTCTGCACTCTAACCTAGATCAATGTGAGCTGGGAACTTCCCGTCTCACCGAAAGGCCCATCCCAGGTGGCAGGAAAAGCTCCTGACACCGAGTTCAGGACTCAATGTTTGTTTTATGAGTGCACTTCTGCTTAACAGTCACCACTCGAGTTCTCTGGGGAATCTTGGGGCTGACTCCTAATCACCTCACTTTGGAACTCAACAAGAATTGTGAAAACACACGCCAATCACATTTTATCCAGTTTTGTGGGATGGTTCGAGCTCAAAAGAGGCATAGATAATACCTTCATTTTGCCAATACACACACAAATACTGAGGATGTTAAAGCATTTGAGGTTTTCTAAAGCTGATTAGTTAGTAGAAGGATGTGTGTTGAATATGTGTGAGTCTGGGGTGGGTGAGGGGCCCTTACCCTGGCTGTGAGTTTCTCTTTTACTTCCACACTGTAGCCCAGGCCCTCAAGCAGCCCCTTCATCCCCACGATGTCATGGTCAGCCCCATTCCTCCGCGCAAGATGGTCAAACTCTGTATTGCATATGATGAGAGCCAGGCGAGTGCGATCCTTTTTCTCCTTTATGGGATAGATCTGCAGGAGGTGGATATTCAACAAATTTGATTATACCCGAGTCTATTCTGAAACCCCATACACCCAGCAGTGTTGCTTTATTAAAGCCTCGTACAGCTACCTTCTCCCCCAGCCTCTACCAGGAGACCCTGCCGTCCTCCCTCTCAAGAGCCCAAAGCAAGGACCAGGATATATTTGGAAGGGTAACTCAAGAATCTTGACAAACTATTAGTAGAATAATTCCTACCCGTCCTTCTCCCCTTTCTTCTCCACCTAGTCAAGTCTTTCTTAGCATTCAAGATTCAGATCAAATTTCATAAAAACCAAGAGACATTTTTCACTGGCTCTAGTAATAATGAATACACCAGAGATTATTTGCCTTTGGTAGAATTGCTATTTTGATACTATTTTTAACATATCAACTCATAATGTTTTTCAAGCTTTAATTATATTTTTAAAATATGTTTCATATCCAGGTCTTTCACCTAGAGTAGAAACAGTTACTACTCAGCCGTGTTATCTCACAAATATTTTGATTCTATGCCTGTAGTTGAAATTGTCATAAATCCCAAGTAGGTATGTGAATAAATAAATGAACAGAATGAGGCATGTGTATTTTATCGTGGTTTTTAGAATTGGAATCTGTATGGAATCACACGTTCTCCTCCTCATATTTATAAAAACGGTTTCCATAGTTATCACCAGTAATTACTCAGTGTTTTAAGAAATTGTGCATTTAAATGATACCAATTGTTTCTTGCCACATCTCTGTCTCATGCATAGAGCACAGCACCTCTCCAGCCTGTTCTTTACTTGGTCTCAGGAAGTCTTCATGAGGCAAAGCTTGAGGGTATCTGTAGGTTCTGTTGACTCAGCTGGTCCAGCTTTGATTTCCGGAGGAACTGCAGGATATGTCACATTATATTTATTGTGATTTCTGCCTTGGTGACCCAATTTATCACCTCAGCAGTTTAAGAAAGAGGGAATTCCTGGGAAGAAGACTTTTTTGCACATAGCGGTTATAGCTCTATCTAACCTCTTGTATAAGTAGGTGCATTGTTACTGAGAGAGAAGAGAGAAGTTCCTGATAGAGAAAGCAGATCCACCCAAAAATACAATAAGAGATTCTGATAATTCTGGGGAAAACACCTTGATAACTTGGGGTCAAATCTAGCCTCTCTATATTGATTCAAAACAGTTTGACTTTTCCAATGGTACTATTCTAGGGTACTCACCCATCTATATGGACCTTTTATATACTCTGAGCAAGAGTATATTGCATGAATATTTATCAGAGTGCTATTAGAAATATAATGTGAGTTCTATATGCAATATTAAATGTTCTAGTATCTACATTAAAATATTAAAAATAAACAGGTGAAATGAATTTTAATAATACATTATATTTAACGCACTATATCTACAATATTACCATTTCAACATGTGTTACTAGCCAAGATTCAAGGATTTAATAGCCACATGTGGCTGATGGATATGATAGTAGATGGTACAAGTCCCATTTTGAAGTGATAATCTCCTCCTGATCCACACAACACGTACAGATACATTCATAAAACTTATCATAATCTTGAATCTTTTGCCATTAGTTAGTTATTATCTATTATCTATTATTATCTATTATCTATTATTGAATCTTTTGCCATTAGTTGCCATTAGTTCAGTTATTATTTTTTCAGAACCTTGAACTGAATTCTTAACCTTTCTGGAGAAAATGGGCTTCAGTCATACCTCACCATATAGTAAAGTCAGCTGTTTAAAGGAGAAATGCTGAATAGTAACAATAGTGTCTTATCCAGGATTAAAGGGACAATTTTTTTGTTAGACATTTTGACTAACTCTGGATGTCTTGGTCCAAAATGCTGAATAACTAACACTTAAGTTTTTCACCCCATGTTTTATAAGGCAAGAAAATAATACATCTGTTTTGGAGAAGTTTGTTTCTGAGTATTTCTCATCTATCTCCTAGAGAAATATAAATATTATCTGGCATCGCTTGACCTTACTTGACTGAGATTGTGCAAGAGACTCAGAAATTCCAAAGCCTTCTTTAGAAGAGGAAAGGAAAAGGAATTTATAAACAGAAATTAGAAGAGAAGTTTATCAAGATCTAAACTACTGAGGTTTCTTGCCATGATAGAAATGGATAATCATGTTATTTCTGTTCAGTTACATGAGACAACCACACCTTTCACCTCTCACAAAAATCAACTCACGCTGGGTAACAGATTTAAACCTAAGGAGTGAAACTATTAGAATTCTAGAGGAAGATGTTGGAAATACTCTTCTAGACATTGGCCTAGGCAAAGAATTTATGAAGAAGACCCCAAAGGCAATCACAGCAACAACCAAAATAAATAAATGGGACCTGATTAAATTAAAAAGCTTCTGGTTAATTTTATTTAAATGAGAAAGTAAATATTATCTGGTCTAAAATTTTCAGATTTTTGTATTTTATAATTTTTCCTATCTCATTCTCTTGTTTTCATTGTATTTTGATAATATTTTTGAATAAATGCCTTTTAAAAAGTATGATAAAAGCCTAAGGTCCAGAGACGCACCAAGTTGTAAGAGTACATAAGGATATCAAACTTCTGAGCATTGTTTTTCATAAATTAAAGAGTGACACATGATTTTCCTTCCTATTCTAGAAACTTCTGCCAACATGAAGGCATCCAGGATCCTAGAATATTCCATGGTCAAAGGGTATGTTTTCTTCTCCAAAGTTTCCAATTTCCAGTTTATTTATAGGTTTGCAGTACTTTCTAACATAACAGTCATCTCCTAATGACCATTATGTGTCTATGTATACATACAGTGTTTTCAAGTAAAATGAAGAATTAGAATCTCTATCTTACATCTAACAGTAAAATTAGCATTAAAGCAGATTATTGTATAACAAAATAGTATATGGTATAGTTCAGTCCACTGCCAAAAGGGAGTTCCTATTAGCCTGACAGTGCAAGAGAAAAAAATGAAGAAAAAAGAGTTTAGATAAAAATTTTAATTTCTGGTTCTAATCTGTTATTCAATTAAATACTTGGAATCCCACTAAATTGATATAAAAGGGAAGGGACTAATATAGGGTAATACAAAGCCATCTCCCATGGCAGGTAGGGATCCAAGTAGTTATCTCTCTGATTAAATAACAGTGCTTGGCACATATTATGTGTGAGCGTGTGTGTGTGTGTGTGTGTGTGTGTGTCTGTGTGTGTGTATGTTTTCAATGAAACTAAGAAATAAACAAATAGCTTGGATTCTTCCTATCCTCCAGTCTATACACTCAATATTATGCTGGAAAACCTCAGAATTAGACCTATCACCAAAGGTTTGGCCAGAACCTTTACCTCTTCTAATAACTCAGCCCACCCAGCTTCCTGGCCTACTGGGCAAGTTCACCTAAACTGCCCCGGGATCACTCTGGAGACTTCAAGTGCAGATAGAGCCTAGGGAGCCATTGAACCCTTTCTGAAGAGTCTACATCCATCTCCTTCCTGCCACAGCCTCTGCTAATCAGATAACTTATTTCAGTTTAAAGTTTAACACCCATTGTGATTTCTGGAGCTGTTAAAAGAATTTTGAAGCCCCTATTACTTTTATTCTAATTCCCATTTGCTGCATTATTTCTGATTTTTTAAAATAGAAATTGTTCCTATGTGATCACAGGTTGGAGAAAAAGCAAAAAACTTGGAAAAAGGATCAATTTAAATATTAATGAGAATGCAGCCTAGGCTACAATCTTGGACAACTGTCATACTAGCATGTGGTTCCTGCTGGTAGGAACATCCCTTCTCCATAGAGAAGGCTTTTTGAAAAAGGTCATTTGATATAGTGAGGTCTCAAAAATTTATGTTGTCTTTTGTTCATCATCATCTGTCATTATTGGTAAACTTCAGTGTATGAGTGCTGAAGATTTTAATTTAAACTCTATGAAAAATTGAGTTTATCACTGGTGAACTTGAATCTGAGAACATTTAGGCTCTAATAATACTCATAATTCAATTTAGATCAAAAGTTTTGAAAAGTTAGAAAATTTTATACATTTTTAGAGGTTGCCCTGATCATATTTTTGTAACTCACAAAAATGGGTAAGCACTGCAAAAGTCTAAATCTTAGCAGCCACATAATAATTATGATAACTAATATTTATAGCTTACATATTCTTCATTAGTTCATTTGTCCTGTATTAATTAGGTATCTGCTATGTGCCAGGCACTCTACTTATTACTGTTATTCATTGGCAGAGAAACCAATTGCATTCTGGTGGGAGATAATTGGTAGATATTAGTTCCATTTAATGAGATAAAAAAGGGATAAAAGTGGAAGAGACTTGATCAAGAAAACAAGTGTTTCATTTTACATATGGTAGTTTTATGAAGTCAATGGAACATTCAAGCAGAAATATTGAATATGCAGCTAGCTGAATGAGTCTGAATCTTGGAAGAAAGCTTTCTGGATGAAAATTGATATTTTGGGAGTTGTTAGCATATGCCTGGCATTACTATGTTCCTAGCCTTACATGGCTTTGTGAGGAAGTACTTTATTTGTCTCCATTTCTAAGACTGATGCCTAGGGAGCTAGGAAGGTTAAGGAACTTGGGCAAAGTCACATAGTTCACAGGTGACAGACTCTAGGTTTAGGTTTAAGTATCCCTTACTGCAAAATCTCTATTATTAACTATTTCTAGGAAGAGCTTATATACAACAACTCAGCATTTTAGCTAATTGCAAACTTGATCCTACTCTACAAAAGGACACTGATAGGTTTAGATAAAATGGTAGTTTAGCAAAGGAAGGATAGGGGGTTCACAGAGAACACTACCAGAGCTTGGAGTTGAATAGTTCCTGGAAAATTTGAGATGTCCATTGTAAATGATCCTTACCTTCTACACTGGTGGACATTTGGTCCATAGTAAGGAAAGACTGGGTAAGCATTTCATCTGCCCCATGCTCTTCCACAGAGTTTACCAAGACCCAGGCCTTGTCATCAGTTTCGGTATCATAACTTTTTCTGTTCTGCTTCCTTCAGTTTCTGTTCTTTTTTTTTTGCCAAGTTATCCATAATACCGTTAATGACATCTTTGTTCAGGTATTCCAAAATCTTTAATGGATTTGTTTTTGGTGGTTGTCCTCTATCAAAAGTAGAAAGACTCCACCTCTGGGACAGCTTACTAAGTGTATCCCTCACTTTTTCTGTAATGTTAAATATGCCTTAGAATACATCCTATTTCGCCATCTGCCCAAGAAATCATACACCTCTTTTCTCGTATGTGTACAATTCTCTTACCCCATCAAATTCATGCAGACTATTTAACAATTCATTCCACTTATGATTTTTGATAGCTTCTCATCTCTCTTCTGTGGCATTGGGCCCAGTGCTAACTTCCTGGCCAGCCACTGTATTCATATTTCTCTTTCTCTTGCTCACAGCCCATGATGATGAGGCTCTGCCTGAAACATGTGTTCCTAGTAAAGAACATGCTCTTGTCTAGGTTGTAAATTCCTCCTGCCAGACTGCAGGGTCTTTCCTCTTCTCTGTATTTAGTTTCCTTGGTGAAAGCACTATGTCTTTGAATTTGCATTTTTTACACATATCCTATAGCCACATCTTTGTGCTAAAAATGCTTACAAGTACTTAATATGCTGGCCAAACATATGAACTGATGAATAAATGGATGACTACATCTAGAGCCCTAATTCTTTAAGATCTTGTTTTCAACCAAAATTTAGAATTAAAAATAATCTGACAACTAAATTTCAATAATGGTAGATTACTTTGATGCTGGATTTATGTATTAATCCTTAGAATAATTTGAATTTTTATGGGGAAATATAGATATCACAGTGACACATCTTTTATTTCAATAAAACAGATATGATTTGGGCAGGTATGTATGAGAAAGCTAGATACCTCATCAATTCTCAATTAGCTCTATAAAGATAGTTATCCAGTCCATCTATATGCAAGGACAGCTTTGACACAAAATTACATTTTCTAAGGAAAACA